TATATATACTAAACCTGCTCTGTTAAAATCCCGAAGCAGATTGTGGAGGCGGGCGGGGAAGGTGCAATTGTTCGAGTCATGATGGACCGACAACGTGTCTGAATTAACGGGTGCACTTCAGTCCATGTATGAATGATAATGATGCACTTCTGTGATAAGCATACTCATAAATAAACCTTGCAAATGATTTGTATTAGTGAGTTGGGCCGGGTAACCATTGATAAGTACGCATGCAAAGGTTTCGGCATTCATACCGTTGCTTTTGGTTGGCGTATTCTGTCTTTGTCGACACATTTTTGGATTTGTTTCAGATTGACGACTATCGCCATTTCACAGGACGCGAGTGTGCCGGGTCTCCTGTCCACGCTATCATATTGTAAATACAATCCAGTACACACTATTTGTGACGATGGCACAGTTCACATTTGCGATGTCAGGCGGAGCTCACTGTGCAGCTGATGAAGGCAATGCTACAATGCATGGTTCTTGAACAACAACGATAGATGATCGGTTCATGGCTAGTGACGCCGGTATTCCAATCATGTTCGTATGGCGGTGTTTATATGTGTGGGCCACCCCGGTGGTTATTGGAAGTCAGCGCTATACCTCAGATCGTAACGAGACAACATTATGATGCTGAGCTATCAGCAGATACTTTGGCCTAGGTCTCTGTTTCGACCAATGCAACCCCGCTTGCACAGGCACACCCCCGGTGATTACTAGATGGTGTTACTAACACATTGCGTACACAACTGGGCTGTGACCTAAGCTTTTCTTTTGGGCATACAGCGGCGGGTCAATCCCGATCGAACACTTGGCAACTGGCGTGAAGTTTTATTAGACGGCGAAAGAAAGCCTGTGCCGCACGTTTCCCAATCATTGTTGCCTACGTGCACATCGTCTTACAACCACTCTTGTCGGTTGTCTATTTTTGTTTTAAATTTCCGAGTTTAACACACCGGCCAGCGCCCTCCAACTCATCCGTACCAGTCAGTAGTACACCCCATGCTAGCTAGTACCCCTAGTAATGGTGTCGAACTACCCTACCTAGGGTAATACAGTCTGATGTATGTAGTGTATTCAGCTATAGGCCCCAAGCTTCACTCACAACTCGGACGACCTCCAAGATCGTCACCGTCCGTTCCCGTTGGCGCATGACCCACACACGTGGCATATCAAAGTCACAGCGATTGGGCGTATGGTACTCAGGTATCCGATGTGTTGGTGGCGGAAGTCTTGAGGTGGTGCTGTGCAGTTCTGTATGGTACCCATTTGACGAGTTCTTATTCGCAGCACCGACAACCGAGGAGCAGTACAAGTCTACATCATCCACAGTACGACATGCTTACTGCAGCAAGGTCTCAAAGCGGACATCAGGGTTCGCTCTTTCTGTAACACATTTAGCATGACCCTAATTTAGAGGGCCATGGTCGTCACTGTCTTCATATGCAGTTGTTTACATTGTTATCACGTACCAGGGGAGGTGGCTTTCTGCTATCCCGCCTCGTCCACCGCCTAGACTTGGGATACCATGATCTCACACTGACTGTTTCACATCCAGCTCCTCGATTAGGGTTGCCTTGGTATCGGAGAAATTTTCCAAGTATTGACTACGCTATACAGCTCCGAAATACCATCGCTATAGACTCGATATTATCACGAGTATCTACCGCACACTCTTGTATGTGCTGCAGCACGTCAAGATAGGCTCACGAGAGTGTATAGTAGTATATCACTGCCGTGAACCATGTTGACTGTTCCGAGACGAGATAAAGTTCCGCACACACTGTTCTACAGAACAATGCACCCCTATCACAAGTATATCGTTTCGAGAGCTCAAACAAGCCATCCGGTGTCGCATGTGAGTAGCAATCAGCTTGTTGCGTCACAATGGTCCTGTCGCAACCACTCGTACGATGTAACACGTGATCGGCCAAAGGTATATGCGATATAAATAAACGAGCGGTAGTGCGCGGCGAATGACACTGGTGTATGGAGACAGGTATGTATCAGAAACGAAGTGGGAACACCATTTTAAACCAATTTAATGCACGACAAGTCGGAACCTTTGCCATTTACATATATTTATTCTTATTATTACAATATGTCGGAACAAGATAGGTCTGAAAAACTGAGATACAGTACATGATTTATTTGGTCGCAGCGATTTCAACTCCCGATTTTCGCTTTCTATAGCTCCGAATAGATCAACTAGCGCATACCGATGGTAAATATATCAATCACTAACCATAAATAGTGGAACTTGAATGATACGAATGAACACTAACTTCCTCCGAACAAGAATTGAAGTATAAATAGAGATTGTGATCACTGTGATTAGAATCTAAATATGAAACGACAAGAGCCCCCAAAAAAGCCTAAAAGGAAGTGTGTTCATAGAAAGTGTGTTCATAGGCCAAAATTTTTGGCGGGCAGCGGCTTTTTGTCCAGAACTCCAGATGTTCTTAATCGGAAAAGTTGGCCTCTGATCAGTGATCTCAGATATTGATTAGAAATTGGATATGTATTGTGATTATGTACGGGCAAGAAAACGCTTGTTGACAATACATAGTTAAATAATTTCATGCGCCTGGTAGAACAAGTTGACGCTCCGATACACCAGCTGCCACACCTCAAACCACGGTGCTACTATGTCTTTTGATACAAAACCAGAAGCGTGTATCTAAAGCCACACCGAACATCCATCAATTCTTTTCTCAGACCACCATTAAGAATTGCGGGGGTGTACATATAAACCAAATACACAGCTAATAACTTCAGACTACTGTTGGCAGTATGATGCGCAACGCGTCTCATCTTCTGCAGTCGCCTATTAACGTGCTTGCATTGCGAGAGTATATCCGCAAACGAATCGTTGAAATACTGGACCAGTCTGGTTCCTCGACCCCCAAGGTATGAGTTCATAATGCTTAACCCGTGGTGATACTATGTTATACATGACGTTGGTGCCAACACATCCACTACATTATATTCTTCACAGTCAGAAGATTATAAATTAGACTAAGATATCTTTATGTGTAGCCGAAGAGGAACTTTGCAGTTTGGGCATGCGTTGTGAGAGTCTGCAGAGATAGATATATAGCCTTTTTGATGGAGTATATTAATCAGAATACGTGCGTGCTTCCATGTTTGTATGCAAGACCCTACAACGTTCATGGTCATCGAGTACCACAAGATGAAGACACCTCTGGTACTAGCTCTCGTACAGTGGTATTAGTATACCCTCACTTGTCACATGTGACTCAGTCCAGGCATGGGGGTGCGTTAGTGACTATTTGTGGCGGTGAGGATGACGTAGATGCAAACTAAAGCACTTTGTATATATATGTACACACAATGTACTTTGATATATTATTATGTTTATTGAATAGCATATCAATGCGTACTTGTCTACATAGAGGGTCTTTGTTAATTATACACGCCTGTATATATATATATATATATATATATTAATATATATATATATATATATATATATATATATATATATATATATATATATATATATATATATATATATATATATATATATATATATATATATATATATATATATATATATATATATATATATATATATATATATATATATATATATATATATATATATATATAT